GAAAACATTTTTGCAGGAGAATAAGTTTGGCGGAAGCTTTCCTCACAGCTGACATTTTGCTCAGTACTTTGCAGAATGTTTCGGAGGGTTTGGTAGTTTACCCAAAGGTAAGAGAAATGAATCAAGAAGAGAGCTTATGCACAGGCGTTTTGAGCGACAGATCGCCCAGTGTAAGCGACAGATCGCCCCATGTAAACGACAGATCGCCCCATGTAAGGGAATCCGGATTCCGGGATCCGAGAAATTCTTGCTTCTGGAATCCGAAATCCGGGAAATTTTTGCTTGTGGAACTGAAATACCGGGCGTTGGACTCTGAAATTCAGCTCAAGATACCTGGAATTCCGCAAACCATTGGAATCTGGAATCCAAGTTCCGGTGACAAGGAATCCGGAATCCAATACCTGGAATCCGGAATCCGGAATCTATGGCGTGGAATCCAGAATCCAATTTTGAATACTTGGGGCGAGACGGACGTCAGCCGGAAGTAGGCCTTTTCCCTTCTGATATGCTTTGACTTTACCGCATTTGTATTTTCAAGTGTCTTTTCTCTTACAGAGATGAATTACATGAAGATTTGGGCAGATTACATCTCTCAAAAGTGCAAAAAGATTTTACTTTCGATTGCCCTCCGTCGCTCAAAAACGCCTTTGCTTACCCTCCTAGTCATGATCTTCTGTTTTAACGTTGCAGAATCGCACATTTTTGTAAAAAAAAAATCATTTTATTCGAAAGCTGGAAGCACGGTGGTGCATTTTAGGACTTTGAACCTGAAGTAGATATGCTTCTGGTTGAATTTAATCAGAACCCTATGGCTAAATTTGGCCCTTCGTAAAAAGTGGAAGCCTTGTCTGGTTTATGTTGCAACAAAGCAAAAACAAATCTACTGAAAGTTTGAATGAGTGTTAAGGCGCTTACCATTAGTGGCCTACCAGGACCAGTCAAGACGTGAAAATGTTTCCACCGTTACTCAAGACTGGCTACCCAGGTTGTAAAATCACACTAATCACATGTTGCGTGATCACGTTAACGATCGCGATCTTACGCGCTTCGTATATTCGGTGTTTGACTCAAGATTTTCTTCTGTAACCACGAACAGGTTATTGAACGTCATATTCGTCAAGAGTTACCGTTCATGGCGTCAGAAAACGTTATCATGGCCATGGTTAAAGCTGGAGGCAGTAGGCAGGTAGGATAATTGTTGTTCAGTTCTGGAAACTAGAGATCTTTCTACAGCGTTGTTTATTTTCGTTACCACGATGAAAAGGCCAAGAAAATGGCAACCCAAAAATACTTATAGTGATCAGGTCTTTTAACTCCAGGTACACTAAGATAACAGCTGTTTGATGTCTGTTCTCTGCTAACAATCAACATAATGTTTTTTGAACCAGAAACTAATAAGGCCCTATCCACACGAATCCCTTTTTGTTTGAAAACGGAGATTTTTTTCTCCGGCTTGGCCTACCACCCACTTGTATTCAGTTCGGTGAAAATGGTCACCGAAAACGCATCTTTCAAAAACGCTGTCCAGAGTTGAGAGTTTTATAAACGCCGTTTTGCTGCAAATGTCTGGACGGATGAAAACGGAGATTTTTGCAAACGATTACGTCGTGGTGTTGGATCCAGTCTATCCCGCGCATGAGCTTAGACGTCACCATCTCGCGGGCTAGATACCAGTAAATGCGCATGCTCCCATTGAAGATTGTACCGTTTTCAGTGTGTTGTGAAACGTTAGAATGCTTATGATTGTATTTTCTTATTTCATTAAATTTGCAGTAGTTGCTAAAGTAAGCCATTATCTCGCCACCTCTAAAAGAGATGTTTAGATTGTAACAGGACATACCGTGGGATAAGATAATTAGAATTAATCAATGTTGTATTTAATCGGGTATTACTAGCTTAACCGCACATAAGGATTAGGAAACCCACGCTTAATAGGAAATTAGTTGAAATTAGTGCCCACGAAGCGATTTTAAACGTGATTAAAGAACTTAGACCCCATTTGATTATTGTGACCACGCCGGAATTACGCTTCTGGGTGTGGACTTCCTTAGCTAATTATACGCAGCAGTTTTGTAAAATTTAGTTAGATTGAAATTGATCGTAGAACGTAACGTGTAACGATGAATTGTGAAGAATAAAGTCAGATTGGTACGAAAGTGTACAGTCTTCGATTGTTGAACCAGCGTGTGCGGAATCTCTGTCTATCGCAAGTGGGAAATTCTGCGAAACAGTAGTCTGCTACACAGCCGTTTTTAGTGTCGTCACGCAACCCTCCTCCCCACTGGGGAGGAGCATTGCGTGACGACTCTAAAAACGGCTGTGTAGCAGACTAGCGAAACAGTGAATGGTGCATTTTTGTTTGGATGGGCAAAGAAGACTCAAAAACGCAATGTATGGACGCGGATTTGTTTTGAAAACTGACAAAAAGTCTCCGTTTTCAGCAAAAGCGGATACGTATGGAGGGGGCCTAAACTGATTTGCCATTGGAGTGTCAACAGAAATATCTCAAGTGTGGTTGCAGTGATGTGAGACACTTCCGCTTTGTTGTTGTTGTAATTTGTATCAATCTGATTAACTATTATACTATCAAGAGATAGCTTTTATGGATTTTAAAAGGATATGGAAACAAATTGATGGGTTTTTGATGTAATGTTTTACAGGAATGCCACGAAAAGATCCGCGTTCTGTCCCAGGAGGCTGGGGCGGTTGTCAAGGAGCAGGGTGGCGACAATGATTTGGTTGAGAGAATCAAGGCCTGTGAATACTTTGCTCCCATTCACAACCAGCTAGACGCCATATTGGATGCCAGCACTTTCACTGGGCGGGCACCACAACAGGTAAGACAAGTCAGGTTCATTAAGTGTCAGAAATATTTTACAATGGCAATATCACAGTAGTGAATATTGACAGGGTCATACAGTGGAAACCGATTAATACTTACCAAGGGGACATGCCATGGTGCCCGTATTATCCGGGTGTGCGTATTCAGCGGGGACTCGGGAAGAAACGTCACGGACACATGTTTTATGGAACTCAAGACTAAAGCGGACTGTTTTACGAGAAAACCTTGCTTAATGTTGTAACTGTGACTAAAATTACCTTCAGTTTAAAGTACTATTGTGAAAGTTTGAACCCAGGAGTCATTTCATAAGTAGATTGAGCATGATCGTTCGGGTGAACGTAGTCACGAGTAGGACTGTTGTTGACAGTGACTGGCCTTTTGTCAACCTGTGCGGTAGTCATCTTCCGAGCAAAGTGAGTTGTATCACGTCAGTTGATGGTATTTTGAAAACTCTGGTTATTGACCTGATTGGTCAATTAAGTCGCGATGTTATTGGTCGTAGGTCAGTTAAGCCGTGATGTTATTGGCTATGAAGACTCGTAATGTCATTGGTGCGTTTCGATCCGTCTATTGTCACAGTTAACCAGTCGTTTATTGTTAGTCGAATTGTCGGTTCTCCAGACATTTTCTCGTAGTTAGTTTTGCTTGAGTCCGTCGATAAGTCGTTTGTACGGTACTGGTAGCTGTTGACTACGATTCAGTGGCGTTTGTTCTAAGTTAGTACACCAGCTTTCTAACGCGAGTCGTTAATAATGGTCTATGGAATACGTAATACATGTCGCAGAGACTCCCAGTCGATTTGATGTTTCGTCTGTGAATGGTGTTCAGCGATGTGATCGTTGACGTCACCATTTCTTGTGGCTCGTTGTGTTCGGTCAGTTACGTGCTAAGGTTTCTGCCGGTTCCACCAATGTAAGTGGCATGGCAGTTGCAGCATTTGATCTTGTATACTGCTCCCTGTCTGCCCTTTGGTATGAAACACGACCCTAGACGGTTTGACGATATATGGGAGATTATAACAGGAAGATGTCTGTTGTCCGTATTAACCGGTGAGCAAATAAAGCGACCGGGTTGATTTTGGAGAAAACATATGAGCTTTTCGTCGGGACAAACGAAACTGTCCGTTACGGGGTGTCGGTATCAAGTGAGTGTCCGTAGAGCGGGGTTCCATTCTAGATGCAATTTCGAATCGACCTCCCCGGCGAAAACGGGGGTGCTCGTTGCACCCGTCTTTTTGGGATTTAAATTTTCGGATGGGTACAGGTTAGGGTGCTAACCCGGAGCAGGGGTGGGGGGTACTCCCAATGGTACCATTTGTCAATAGAAGGTATAAGAAAGGGGTACCTTTTTCGTGAAAAATAGCATATAAAAGTATAAGGGGTTTCCTCGGGGAGGAGCCTCCCCGTATGAACATTTGTTGAGTACCCTCCGGGTCCTAAGAGGGGTTAAGTCACGCTATTTGCTATCTTTTAAAAAAGCTAAAACGTGTCCTCGCATCAATTGAATTCCAATAATAATGGCCCACTTTTTTTAAGTGAAGACTATATTTAGGCATTGAAACTGTTTCATGTCATCTGTTGCTGCGGATGGCAAGGGTGGACGAAGATTGAAAATTGAAAAAAAATAGGCCATATTTTAATGCTCTGCCTGCAAAAATCACTAAAATAATAATTATGATTGGGGCTCCTTGATGAGATTTGTCTGATACCGTCATGACTCTGCGGGAGCATTATAATTTCCCGGAATCTTTTAACAGTTCAGTACCCCAAACAGTATAGGGTTATACCGGCTCTCTGTGCTTTTGTATCGCGTTTCAATAAGATTGTATATTTTTAAAAGATCTTGATTACTTGAGTTGGATTTTTCTTTGAAAACGATAAGTGTACACGTCCTTTGGTTTTAAATTCTTCTCTGTGCTGCCTTGGGGAGAAAAAAAAAACACATAAAAGGTCACAGATGCCAAAATTAAGTTATTCATATTTCGTCTTTCTAAGAACTAATTGATCACAACAACAGTCTGGTCATGGAGCCTCTGACAAATGGTGACTATATTCTTAGTTCTATATAAGCAGTGAGATTTGTAAACTCAAAAGCCAGTCAAGAAGAGGCAGTAAAGCAGCCGGAAGTATTCGATCTTTGACTATTTAGTTATAAGCTAATGGCAGCTACTCCATTCTCGCTCGAAGGCTTGTTTGCGTACATCTCGGAGACGTTCGCCGCGGGAGTGATTCAGTCTTACCAAGGGCAAGGCCTTCTAGATGATGCTCCATTACTGCAACGCCAAGATCCCTTGGAGGATTTCAAAAAGTTCAATCGAAATGATGAAATTTTTCAAGAGTACGATCCTCCCGCAGGGGACAACAGCAAAATGGGATGGAAAAGATCTCGCCCGCCAACATGGCGACTGTCGCTATGGAAGGCCATGAAGCATGCGTTTTATATTCAAATTCTTGGGGGTATTGCGTTGGGATCGCTCGCTATTGTAATACTGGTCATAGATTTCAATACCGTCGATCTTTGCTATGATATGCAGTCCAAAAACTGGACGGCGCTTCCCAAAAGAATTCAGGCGGTCATCGTGACAGCCGCTACAACCGAAGCTTACTTAGTTCAACTTTGGACGTTTCTCGTTGTGTTGACTATGTTTGGTTGGCGTCTGATAAAAGAACTAAATTTACTGACTCTCAATCTTCTGGGCGCTTTCTTCGACACTTGTTACAGGCTTTATTTACAGGTTTACGACATTTACAATAAGCCCTGGAGGTCATTCCCTCTCAACGTCCTCTTTGTCTTCTTGTTGTTGATGAACAGTGTAATCATCGGCAGAGACATAGCTAAGAAAAGCGAAGTCGAAAGGAACAAAAGAATCAAGAAAGCGATCATAGTATCGGCGATGCTGGCTGCTCAGTTTGCCTTTTTTATACCGATCGCATTTGTCCTAACGTACGTCCTTATACCCCTGTATGGTGAAGTATCTGAAACCTACAGAGCGATTCTAGCCGGGGCGTTACCCCTAGTTACTGCTATACCCAAGGTCATTGTACGCTTGGCGGCGCAAAGAATTGATTTCCTTCATCCAGGAAATTCGCACGTTTTGTTAAACGTACTCCACAGCACGTCTGCCATTGTTTTTCGTGTTGTGCAAGCGGAACTGACTAGCCTCCGACTTTTCATTCTCCTCAGCTTCGCGCATGGTGCGATAGACTTGCTGGAAAGGTTGACTATCATTATTCGTGATTATATATGGTACTTTATTTACAAGAAGCTCAAAAGAGACAAAAGGGAAACCATTTTGAAAGCAAGTCAATTTCGCTCGCCAAGGAGCATGCGCTTTGTGGCCGATATGAGCATTTAGATGATCCTTGGCGAATCCACATCACTGATAGCAGCGGTCGGTTTCATTCAGCTCTATAACTTCATGTACAACCGTAGTGATGCTTCCTCGGCGTCTACCAACATGGTTTATATCACCCAATTTTTCATTCGCGTCTCCATTGCTATAAGCATCGATTTCGTTTTTAACTCGTTCTCGTTTTGGCTGCAGATGTCCTATTTAAATATCGCAGTGGTGCGCGTCTGGCGCAAGAAATGGCGGAAACATATGCTCATCGCTTTTATTTTGACTGCAGTGACACTGTGTTACTTTACCACTTACTTGTTTGCTGTTGTGAAAGACAAAAACACTTCAGGAGTTATAATAGATGATCATAGTTGCAAGGGGCCTTTCTCAAAGTTTTAAGTAATATATTTTTTAAGGGTTTTTCATGCTACAACCCAACAGAATGACGGAAAAATGTTGCTCAATCTCTCTCATTTGAAAGGCCACACTTGGATAAATACCTGAAATCGATGTGGAGTCGCATGAATAAGTCTGAGTCAGTGTGAGAGAGTGTTTATTTAGTTGACTGTTCTGGCCATAAAGAGAAAAGAAAACGAAACGAAAAGGTCGTATTAGGCGCAAGATGATGCTCGAGAAAAACTAGAAAGTTTCAGAAATTCCGAGGTTTGCGAATGAGAGCAAATGCTAGCGCATGTAACCAACAAAACGATGTGTCGTTCACTTTTTCTACCTGATATAAACATAGGCATGTTTAACGTGCAGGAGCTATTTTGAATGCTTCAGTGTGACCGTATCAACGAACTACTGTTTGAATCCTAATTATTGGCTATTTCTGTGCGAAATTGCTGAAATTGGGTATTGTTGTACATTAGTGAATGCGCGAACCGCTGCGCACAGCTGAGTCGATCCTCATACTACAGATTCACTTTTCTTTGTCTTTTCTTCAAACATCTGGTGCGAAATTGTTCAAGTACTATGAATATCAACTTACCAAACATTGCTTAGAGAGAAGTCTCGAAGGTTTCAAGGTTTCTTCATGGTTTCTTAAGATAATGAAGCGCGTCGAATACCGAATAGCTAAGAAATGTCGCGATTTTCATCATTGTTGTAGATGGTTTCATCATCATTATTCACGAGGTTGTCACGTGCGATTTTGCGTAACCAAAAAGTCTGAAACTCTGACGACTTGATTCTACAAGTGTTATAAGTTACTGCTTCTTAAAAAAAGAGCCTTCCATTGTGTGAAACACGACAATGGAAAGTTTTTTACGATATATGGGAGATTGTAACGGGAAGATGTCTGTTATCCGTATTAACCGGTGTACAAATGAAACGGGTTGATTTTAGAGAAAACATATGAGCTTTGGCGTCGGGACAAACGAAACTGTCCGTTACGGGATGTCCCTATCAAGTGAGTGTCCGTAGAGCGGGGTTCCCTTCTAGGTGCAATTTTCGAATCGACCTCTCCGGCGAAAACGGGGGTGCTCGTCGCACCCGTCTTTTTTGGGATTCAAATTTTCGGATGGGTACCGGTTAGGGTGCTAATCCGGAGGGGGGGGGTACTCCCTATGGTACTATTTGTCAATAGAAGGTATACGAAAGGGATACCTTTTTCGTGAAAAATGGTATATGAAAGAACAAGGGGCTGGGCCTCGGGCGGAGCCTCCCCGTTTAAACATTTGCTAAGTACCCCCTGGGGGGTGCTAAGTGAGGCGATGTCATGCTAGTTGCTCGATCTTTTTATAAAGCTAAACGTGTCCTCGCATCAATTGAATTCCAAAAATAACAGTCCAGTTTTTTAAAGTTAAGACTATATTTAGCCATTGAAACTGTTTCATGTCATCTGTTGCTACGGATGGCAAGGGTGGACGACGACTGAAAATTGAAAAAATGGGTTATCTTTTAATGCTATGACTGCAAAAATCACCTAAAAATAAGGGATAGGGGCTCCTTGATGAAATTTGTTTGATACCTTCATAACTCTGCGGGAGCATTTGGTGTACAACGGCAATATTCCAGTGACATCTTTTTCCTTTGGTTTGTTTGTTTTTTGGCGTTGTCTGTTTATTCTTGGATTTGTGAACAGCCATTATTGAGCCTTTCGATTTCTTCAATTTCCGGTCAAAGTTCTAGACATGTTGGTCAAGTTGCAAAAGGAGACCTTTACTTGTTGCTGGTTTTGTTATTTACGGCCTTGTGGGCCTTCTGTAGCGAAAAACAAAATTGTTATTCCGATGTCTTTTGTAATGTATATGTTGCTGTTAATTTTTTATTTCAGGTAATTTTTGTTTTTCCTTTGTTTTACATTCATTAGCATACATTAACATACCCAAAAACAAGAAATGCCTGAGATAAAAAAATTAACTGCAACATATACCTTTTATGAGAAAAACTGACGGACTCATCGCCCAGAAAGGATTGCATGACTTCTGCTTCAGAAGAGTCTACAATCTTGGACAAAATAAAATGGAACAGCAAACCCCCATCCCCCCTACCCCATATCAAGGATGATCCTTGATTTGAGGGGGGAGTGGGGGTACAAATTTTCCATCTATTTTGTCCCAGATTGTAGTATGCTGCCACGAAGCTAGCCTTACTGTTCAAACAAAAAAAGCTTACTCAAAATGAACACAGAACAGGTAGTATTTCCGCCAGGCCATTTTTCGTGATAAGAATAAATTTCCCTATGCTTTGATAAACCTTATTCAAATAAGCAAGACAAAAAGGCCTCTGTTTGCATTCCTATAACTTCCCGGAATTTTTTAACGGGTCAGTACCCTAAAAAGTATAGGGTTATACCGGATCTCTATACGTTTGTATCGCGTTTCAAATAGATTGTATAATTTTAAAAGATCGTGATTAATTGATCGTGAGTTGCCTTATTCTTTGAAAACGATAAGCGTACATGTCTTTTTGTTTGAAATTTTTTTCTGTGCTGCCTTGAGGAGAAAAAAAAACAATTAAAAGGTCACGGATGCCAAATTAGGTTATTCATATTTCGTCTTTCTAAGAACTAATCGATCACAACAACAGTCTAGTCATGGAGCCTCTGACAAGTAGTGACTATATTCTTGGTTCTATATAAGCCGTGAGATTTTTAGAACCCAAAAGCCAGTCAAGAAGAGGCAGTAAAGCAGCTGGAAGTATTCGATCTTTGACGATTTATTTATAAGCTAATGGCGGCTACTCCTTTCTCGCTCGAAGGCTTGTTTGCGTACATCTCGGAGACGTTCGCCGCGGGAGTGATTCAGTCTTACCAAGGGCAAGGCCTTCTAGATGACGCTCCATTGCTGCAACGCCAAGATCCCTTGGAGGATTTCAAAAAGTTCAATCGAAATGATCAGGTTTTTCAAGAGTACGATCCTCCCTCAGGCGACGACAGCAAAATGGGATGGAAAAGATCTCGCCCGCCAACATGGCGACTGTCGCTATGGAAGGCAATGAAGCATGCGTTCTATATTCAAATTCTTGGTGGTGTTGCGTTGGGATCGCTCGCTATTGTAATACTGGTCATAGATTTCAATACCGTCGATCTTTGCTATGATATGCAGTCCAAAAACTGGACAGCGCTTCCCAAAAGAATTCAGGCGGTTATGGTGACTGCCGCTACAACCGAAGCTTACTATGTTCAACTGTGGACGTTTCTCGTTGTGTTGACTATGTTTGGATGGCGTTTGATAAAGGAACTAAATTTATTGATTCTCAATCTTTTGGGCGCTTTCTTCGACACTTGTTACAGGCTTTATTTACAAGTTTACGACATTTACAACAAGCCGTGGAGGTCATTCCCTCTCAACGGCCTCTTTGTTTTCTTATTGTTGATGAACAGTTTAATCATCGGCAGAGACATAGCTAAGAAAAGCGAA